AAATGGATCTAGTTCACCCAATAAGATGCCTTGGGTGTATGTATATAGACATAATGATTTGTGTATAGCAATTTAGAGTGTACTTGTAGCCTCAACCTTCTTTCTATTGCAACTAAGACAAGAATTTTGAATAGATCAATTTGGCATGATTAAGTCAAGTGATCATTTTGTTATATTTTATATTTCTTCTAATTACATAAGAAATTAAAAGATCCTATAAAGGTGATCCACTAAAATAATATTGATATAATTATCTAATGTTATATACTTTTATTTTTAAAATGAATTTATTTGCATACTATGGCATGTTTAAATTTCTATATTGCTATCAATTTCATTTCTATCATTAAATTATTTTTCTTCAAGGGATTTCTTTTGCCTAAATTCACAATAATTACAAATAATTATAAAATCATATTTTATATTATTCTATGACAATTTCTTCTATATATAATTTGATTTTTTTGATCAATTAATTTAAAGTATTGAGATTTTAGAATTCTCTAATTTAAAAAAATATTTTCTAATAAATATTTTTATATAATAAGTAAATTTTGTAATCTATTTTGATAGTTTATTTATTTTTTATATTTTATTATTTAACAGACAATCAATTTCTTTGAAAGACAACTCTCAATTTCTTCTAAAAGAAGTATCAATAGAAAAATAAAATTTCACTTACTAAATTATTGTTATCTTCTTTTAATAGTATTCATAATTCTTATTTTATTCTACTGCTCACTTTTCAAAAAAATTCTAATATATTCTAAAGGCAAATCTGAGTAGAAAATTCAATTTATATTTCAGAAAAAGGTGAATATAAATGGATCGAAATTCAATGTCTGTTCTTGATTTGCATATATTCATATTAATGGATTTTGTAAATTTAATACTTTCAGTTTTTTTACCAAATTTAGTGTAGTATTAATGATTAGAAAAGAATACTCTTTTAAATTTAATGATTATATACTAAGTGCATTTTAAAAAGCATGTTCTTCCATATTAAAATGCACTTAGTATATGATTACATTAAATTATCCAAAAAAAATCTTTTGAAACTTTTTTTTATTATTAATGATATATGGAAAAAAAAATTAAAAATTTATGAGTTATTTAAAAAATTTATTTTTTAAATTTATAGTTTAATTATAAATTTTAATAAGAAAAAATTAGCAAAGCATTGCAATAATTTTAGAAAAATAAAATCCTAAATAAGGTGGTAGATATGTTGGAACATAATGGTTTTTTCTTTGCATGAAAAAATTATCATAATTTTAAATAGGATTTTTTATTATTATTATAAATAATTATATTAATACTTATATTTTAATTTTATTTAAAAGAAGTAGAATATTTATCTATAAAAATCTAATTTAAGACCTAAAAAAACAAAAAATAAATTAAAATACGGAAGAAGAGTTGTACTTCACATTATATTATTTTTTATTGAAATATTTTAATTGTATATTTTTATTAATCCATGTTTTTGAATATTTTCAGAAAATAAAAATTAAAATTAAAAGGTTATTTTATTTTTAAAAATATTAAAAAAATATCTTGGTTTAATATATATATATATATATATATATATATATATATATATATATTATAGAAAAATAATAAATTAATAAATTTAATTTAAATAACCAAATTATTTTATTGTTCGAAATGTTTGGTGTTATATTGCTTCTAAATTGTCTAAAAGCACATTCTAAATAGAAGAGACCAAAGATTTACATGCTTTAGACTTAATAAATTTCTTTATAAAAATCACTTAATATAATGTGAAATACAATTCTTCTTCCAAATATTTTTTTAATATTTTTAAAAATAAAATAATTATTTAAGAATTAAGGCATGATACACAAATAGAAACATAAAACCTTAGATACACGAATAGAGTTTCATGAATAAACCTTAGATACACAAATAGAAAAATAATTAGAAAAGAAAGTTAGTCTTTATGTTTCTAAATTTCTTTGTGCCTTTTAAAATTATCAAAATCAATGTACAATAAGTTTTATGATTTTTGAAATAAAAATCGTGAAATTATTATTTATTTTACATCTAACTATATTATTCTAAAAATATATTATTGTCTCTTTGTTTCAAAAAAATTATATCTAAGGGATTCTATCTTATTTTTATTTTAATCTAATAAGAACTTCTTTAAAGAAAAAAAATTAAGTGGAATATTTTAACCTATTTTATTTTATAGAGAATAATTAAAAATATCTAATTTTAAAGAATTTTATTTTATTAATATAATTATTATAATTATCCAAATTACAACTTTGGTCAAAAAATATCTTGAATTCTTAGAACAAATTGTAAATAGCAGACATTATCATATATTTAATATTAATTTTATATTTTCATAATTTAACATCTAAAGAAATAAAATAATTATTATTATTATCTAATAATTTTTTTTAAAAAATATATATATATTTTTAATATTATTATAAAAATAAATGAAAACTTTGAAAAAAAAAACATTTTTATACTACTAAAAAAAGAAAGTAAATAAATAAGTAGTTATAAAATAAATAGAATCTAAAACGTCTATTATTAATTACAAAGAAGGTAATCTTTTTGAAATAAGACTAAAATATAAGAAAAGATACAAAATTGAGAATAGTCTCAATGTTGCTAGTATATATACAAGCTACCAAGGTCTTTTTTAAGCTTTCTAGAGACCACTAGGCTTATAGCTCAAGTATCAAATTGTAGATTACTTCCAATACAACTTTTTAAAGTAATTAATTTATAGAATAAGTTTTAATAGATACATGACATATCTATAGGAATTCAAATGTCTAACTTTTATCTAAGAGATTTTCTTAAAATTTCTCAAAAAAAGATATTATTCACTAAACATATTTGTATATATTTATATTTATTTCTATTTATTAAATAATAAATATATCAATTATTTGTAATTTTTTAATTTTATATGTCTCTTTTGTCTTAGAAGAATTTTCTTAATCATAATAAAATTATGTAATAGAAGCTATAATAATAAAATCTATAACAATGTAATTAATAATATATATATATATATATATATATATATATAGATATACATATATATTTTATATTGAACATAAGAAAGTTGGTTTAAAAAAATTCAAGTATCTTACTTATCTTCTTAAAGATGATTGTCACAAACATACATATTTATTTTAATATTCTATATGATTAAGTAGAAATAGATAAAAGTAGATTTATTTCACAATATTTTCTAGAGATACTTTTCAGAAGCTTCATAGGCATTGCTTTGACTTATCATTAATTAATAATGTGTTAATTAATGATATGTTAGTTTAATATTTGAATAATAAATTAAAAAATTATATATTTTAGTTGTCGCATAGTTTTTAACTTAAAGTTTTGAATCCTCAATAGCATGAAAAAAAAACATTAGGAACTAGAGAACATCTTGTTCTATTTTTTCTTAAATTGATATTATTTATTTTTATTGAAATATTAGTATTAATATGTTTATATATGATAAAATAATATAATTAAAATAAAACAAGAACTAAAACTCAATATTATTAGAGCTATAAAAATAAATTTCTAAAAAAAGAACTTATAACTCTTAATAAAATCTAAACTGTCAATAACTAGATCTTTTTATTATTTCATTGGAAGATTTTTTCTATTGGTTGATATCCTAAATAATGATTTTTTTTTTTTTTTTTTTTTTTTTTTTGGATGGGGCCAAATCTTTTGCTTAATATGGGTTATTATTTAATCTAGGGTGATTCAAGGTAATGCATTTTTGGAGCTAAATTATTGTACAAAGCTTTGTATTACCATTATTCATAGGACTTTATGGATTACATGCAAGGATATAAGAGCTAATTTAAGCCGTAACTATATAGGTGCAAGAAGTCATCATGGAGATATTAAGAGAGGACAATTACTTGATTACAACTAAACAAATTATAAAAACAATAATTTTATTAATTAGATCAAGAGTACACAATATATTCTTCATCTTGTTAAAACAGCCAAATGTTCAGAATTTGCAATGCATAGATTAGAGATTTTGTGTGGCAAGTAGATTCAAAAAGATTTATAAATATGCAAAAAATACTAAAGACACCGGTAATGAATCTAATTTTTCTTTTCATATATAAGAATTACACATTTCTTATCGGAAAATGATCATCAATATTATCAAACCATGTGTGAAAGATTGTTACTGTTTAACAAAATTTATCACCAGAGAACTTTTCAATCTGATCTTAATATCCCCTTTTCATTGATCCAACTCAACATTGGATAAAAAAAGACAACATTTCTTGCTTTGTTAAATATTACTTCAAACACAATGGAAAGAACATACAACATATCTCTTATCCACAGCTTGAACACATGGATCTAATTTTGGCAACAAGAGTTGGAACCAACGAACTGCTGAAAGTCCTATTGAGATGTTGAAGCAAACGCTCACTACAACGTCTCAGCAGCTAATTTTTATCAACATCTTTGTAATTTGTAATGCTGCTCACAAACCAGTGTCGAAGAATTTCATAACAACTGCCACAGTGCACAAGCAGCAGGTTACAAAGAATAATTTAAGATCAGCGGGTGCTGGTTCTCTTTTGCTAGATCGATTGGATTTTTAATAACCGCTGTCGCTTCAAGAGTTCATGAGAAGGTGAGACATCACCGAAGGCTATCTTGCTTGTTATTTTACGAGTCATTGACAATACTGAATGAATACGGCAGGATACTAGTTTTCTATCAGATGTCATACCTTGCACCTATGTAGCTACGCTGAGGAATGCGATCTCCCAGCAAATGGAGTCTTGTTACGGGGCATCACAAAGTATCATTACACTGAGGAATTGGCAATCAATAACGAGGATAATGGCACGTTTCTGATGAGTTCCTTACCCAAGGACAATACCATTGAGTTAAGGCCGCATTTCGAGGCAACAAAAGGTATGTGAACGATTACACATGCTGAGGAGGACGCAGAGATATCACGTTCAAAATTTCGTTATTACGATTGGTGATTAATACGGATCTACTCGCCAGCAGAAATGCAGACGAGGATATATCGGCAAATCATTAGAATCTAAGCGGCTACTACCCATAAAAATCTCAGCCCATTAAGATGCCTCCTCCTCACCCAAGTTAGGGACCCAAGCAAGGGATCCACAAAGGATCAGAGTCATAAGCCACTACACATCACGACCATCAGCCCATTCCAAGACGTTTCGATCTCCGTTGATTGGTTACAGTACAGAATTTATCGATGGTCGTGTAACGACGGCAAGAAGTAATAGCAGTCTAGGCGACGTTGAAGGTGTTCCAGGCTCCCTCAACGAACTTCTTCACACCCTTGAACCACCTCTTGTCACCAGCTTGAGCCTTGAAGAGGTAAAGCTGGCCGTCTTTCACTGTCGCAGCGATCAGCTGGTGCTTGCCTCCTTCATCTCCGTCGGCTGTGCGGGTCAGGACGCTGAGCTTGTAGTAGGGCCTTCCGTTGATGTCCACAGAGTTGGCCTCAAGGACAGCGGCAGTAGCAACAGCGTTGTTAACGAAACCACCCTCAGAGGCAGTCTTTCCTGAATAAGCTTGCTTCCCGAAGAGGAATGATACCTGCATGCCAAAAAAACGTACATCACCGCCACTGTCTCACATATCACCGACGCCGCAAATGATTGCGCTCACACAGAAGAGGAAATGGCATAAGGAAGATCGAGAGGGCGCCTGTTCCTAGGTCTCTACCTCATCCAAGAATTTCTCAGGTGGGCCGTATTCGGTGATGGATCCCTTCGTGGCAGGGGTAATAGACACGAAGAGGTTGTTGGTGGCATCGAAGTTATCTTCGAATCTCACAACAGTCCCGGGGAATTCCTGCTCCTTGCTTGGGTTCCATTTGGAGGGAACATCCAGAGTAAAACCGTTTCCAGCGAAGGGGGTGAACCCGGTGGAAATCTTGGGAGCACCGAAGACATTGGCTGCGCACAGCGAGAAAACACAATGTCCCTCAGCACATAACACTACGACAAATCCATAACTACGGACAAAAACCCACGTAGAGTAAAATAAGCAGCCCACTGGCTGCTATGGTAAGCATAGCAGCCACCGCATGCGCGAGGATCAGACTACACCCCAAACCCAGAAACCAATTCCAATGCTTACCGCTCTCTCCGTAGGCGGCATTGGCAGACCCAACCTTGGCACCGGCAGCAAGGACGCCAGCGACGAGGGCAAGCGCAGCGCGACGGCTAAAGGTCTCACCCTCCTCACCCTTAGAAGCGCGCACTACAAGGCTGCGGACGGCAACGGGGGCCACGCGGGGGGCAGCCACAGTCACGGAGGCGCCATTGATGGCGCTCTTGGCCGAAGCGAGAGAGGTAGAGCTCTTTACGACCAGTCCAGACGACACGCACGCCGCACACGCCATGGCTAACAACACAAGTCGGGGATTTGCGGTGCCGAGGAATGGGTCAAGCAAAACTGCAACTACTCCGCTGCGGCAACAACAGATTGAATGAATTACGGGAGGGGGAAGGGGGCGATCGTGTACATGAAGAGGAAGTGGGGTGAGGCAGAACGGATGGCTCGCGCAACGGGATCAAATTATCTCCAGCGTTATCCACTGCTTCGAGATCCCCAGTGCTTCCATTGGCCGGGGCCCCGCCCGTCCTGTCCACCCGGTAGGTTCCGTGAAGGGGGTCGGTAGGTCGCCCCCATTGGCCGGGCGGATAGTCAGTCGCTTGCTGGACTGGAAGATTTGGCTCAGATTTCGCGGTGGGAGGGGCGGAATCCCTCGTCTCGGTTCCTCGACGAGAAACGAACTTCCGGTGGACGAGGACCTAAAATTCGTGGACGACAACCACTACAGCGACGTTGATTTATCGTCCGGGGTTTTTGAAGATTTGCACCGCATTCTTGCATGCTCCCACTCTGGCGATGCCTGTTTCGTTGCCGCTTTGAAAGCCTGGAGGGGAATTGATATCTACACATTCCCTTTGAAAAGCCCAGTTGCATGAAGTAAAGTGTGAACATTTAGACTACACTAGGCTAACCCTTACTTTCAACAGAAAAAGTTTTTTTTTATTCCTATTTTAAGGAGAATGTTGAATAGATCCATGCTTTTACCAAATAGACCCATTCTTAATGAAGAATATGGTAATTATGATGAATGAGGTTGGTTTTTATTGGTTGTAGATCCAATAATGAAGAAACAAATCTAGAAATCATTACTTTTTTTCATGGTGGTTAGGATGGGTAGGTTGATTTAGTAAAAACTTGGGTCTATTTAACATTTTTCATTTTTTATTATAAAGGTAAGTTGTTATTACTTACACAACATTGTATTCGAGTGAAAAGATTTAATATAATTGTTGCAATTACTAGAGCACATTGATTGTTTGTTTTCTTTTGTCTATAAATATATATATATCTTTATATATAGTCTTTTCTATATGTGTGCCATATATATATATATAGTGATTGAAACAATGTATTGAATTTAATTCCATTTAATAAAACTAATTGTTCTTAAATTTGTTTATTTTGAAGTTTTGCTATTAATATGTTGTTTTTAATCAAGTATTTTATCTTTTTTTAGTATATTATAGCTTTGATTAATATGTCATAAATATAACCATTTTATCTTATTTGTAAGTATTTTAAAACCACTACATTAGAATAAACAAATGAAAGATATCTCAATTTTTTTTACTAATATAATTATGTTGTTTTAATAAGAGATGAATGATTTGGTGCTTTGTTGTTTCAACATAAAAAATAATAGGCAATCTTTATAGTTAATGTCAATATTTAAATATCAAAGTTAAAAAATTATAATATTTTTATTTTTATTTTTTTATATTTAAATTTTTTTAAATAAACTAAATTCACAAATCATTTCATGTTTAAGATGTTATCTAAAGAATATATATAAAAATAAAACTTTAGATTAAAAAATTATTTGATTTATATTTTCATATTTTATTATACCTATAAATACAGTCAATCTATATGTATATAGAAAGAAATAAAAATAAAGATGAATTTTAAATTTTACTTTTTGTAATTTGTATTTATAATTCAATATACAAAGTAGATTATAGAGATTATAGAGATGTGTTAGCATGTTTTTTTTAAGATATCCAAGTCATTGTCTTTTTACAACACCACCTCAAAAAATTAATCCAATCTAGTAGTATTTAACATCTATAAGGTACAAGTTCTGAAATAGATTGTATAGCCAATATTAAAAAATATCTCATAATTAAATCATAAAATTAATTTCACAACTAAGTTTCTTATATTTGATTTCTTAAAAACAACATGTTAAATGTAAAATAGTTAAAATTTTATTTAATCTACCACCTTCTTTTACTTTCTCTATAAAAAGTAACAAGTAAAAAACTCATCTTCATATTTTATCAATGGGGGATTTTTTCATAATTAAATATAACATCAAAGTCTTGTATAATCTATATCTATAAAATTAGTTCTAATAAGTTAAAAAATATATTTTTTAATATTTATTAATCACATAGGTTAAAGATACCTAGTGTCACAAAGAGTCTTTCAAGCTAAAAACTTAAATACTAAGTTACACTTAGATTCTATAACTTTAATTGTAGCAATAATTTTTTTAATGAAAACCAACTGCTTTACAAACATAGCTAATTTTTAATTTCTAAAATATTATTAGATATATAATATATATGAAAATATTTATATGTTTATATATTTATATGTTTAAATATTTTTTTAGTATATATTACTACATTTATATAATTTTTACTAGAAATATTTTAAATTAGGAAGAAGAAGTAAAATAATATAAGTAATAATATTAATTTTTACATTATTATCTATAGTTTATTTGTATTAAAAATTATCTATGTTGCACTTATATCCACAAGTGTAAGTTGCAAAAGATGTATAATACTTCTCATTGTCAAAATTCTTTTAGATTTTCAAAGATTCTATTTGAAACTTAAGAGTATAATAAAAATTTTAGAAATATCGATGTAATCAATTATACAAGTATCGATGTAATCAAATATCGATGTAATCAAATATAATTAGTATAATATTATAAATTTATATTATTTTATTTCTTTTTAATATTATTTAATATTATTTTATACTATTTTATTTCTTCTTAATACTATTTTATGCTATTGCAAGTTTATATTAAATTTATTTATATTAAATTTAAGCCATCTTATTTTATACTAAAATTATAATTAAATATTTTTTTATTATATTTGACTTCTAAAAATCATAATTTTATTATTTTTATAATAAATAATAGATGATACAAAATACAAGATGCTTCTAGTTGTCAAGGATATGAATCTTGAATAAAGAAAATCCTCAATACACTCTTCTGTCATTGAAAGGAACTAAAAAGTCACTCAAAGATGATATAATATTGAATTAGAATGGCTATTGCCAAAAACAAGAAGACTAAAAAGTCTTAAAAAAGACTAAGGATTAGAAAGGCATTGACAAGAGTAAAGAAGGCTTCACTCTTGCCTCCGTATCTACTCTTAACTAGGAGTTATGTGGCAATGTCTTATAGGACCTCCAAAATGTGTTGACTTTGCAAGACATATATCTGAACTTGCAAAACAAGTTTTCTATATGTGCGCCATATAGTTAGCTTGTTCTCCAAGCTATCAATAAGTAGTTAATTTTTTTACCAAGTTTTTAACTTACTAATCAATTATAAATACATGTAAAGTCAAAGCAACACCTATGAAGCTTTTAAGAAGCTTCTGTTGAAGGTATTATGAAATTAACTTATTTTTATTTACTTTTACTTATTTCTATTTAATCATATAGATATATACTAGAGTACTTATATATACTTGTAACATTATCTCTCCTTCTAGAGACAAGTTTCACAAGGAGCGGTCTTCATATGTTGAGGAAATCAAAGATGCAGTGAATTATATTTGCTACTTACTCTGATCTTTGTTCTCTTTAAAGATAGTTGATAGGTCCTTTTAGCCATTGGTAATTTCACATATCAAGGAGTGAAGACCTCCCTATTATTTGGTTTTTATTAAAGCCTTTGTAACTTCCTTCAAATAAAACATTTGGAACACTGTCAAGAGTTGTTCCTACCTCTAATAAAGTCACCAAACATTAGGAGTTTCTTCCAAAGTTGTGATATCAAACATGTTATATCTTTCCATTTATTAAAAGAAAAATATGTCGTTATTAAAAATCTTCATCTTGATTTTGTCCTCTTGAAGGTTATGACAATCACAATGTCTTGTCTTGTATGTCTACGAATAAAAGCTCTTTAGTTGAATCTGCTGGTTGTTGATTTTCCATCTGTTTAGTGTCACAAATACACAAAAGCTACAAAGAAAGATAGAAGGTAGAGTATTTTTTTTCTTTGATCTTATTTTTTTTATAGCAAAGATTTGCTATTCTTCATCTTGGTTTTGATGGATGTTGTCAATGAAAAGCTTCAACTCTCTTTGCTACATTTGCAAGATTCTTTGTTGGCTTCCATGTACATTTATTAATATTATATCTATGCCAATGAATAAGATATTCCAACCTATTTTGGCTCAGCTTTAAATCTAAGACTTCTTCTACTTCAAACTCTTGATTGTTATCTACTTTTATAAGAAAAAGTGGCATTTGTCTTCTTTTCAAGATATTCACTATCTTATATGGTTTAAGAAGGAATATATGAAATATAGGATAGATCTTTATAGACTATGATAGATATAATTGATAAGCAACATGATTGACTTATTCACTAATAAAAAAAGATCTAAGCCTATGATAGTCCACCTTATCATAAGAATGAGTAATCTTAATATTGCAACAAAGTAACTATACCTTGTCACCTACGTTGAATTGTAGTTATTCCTTGCAATAGGCATTTGTATTTATTTTTTGTCATAATTGAGCTCTCTTTAACTACGCTTTTGTTGTTGCATATAGCTTTGACAAACAATTTGCTAAATCTTTTGCCACAGGATTATTAACTTTTGAAAATTTAAAAGTATAAAGTCGTGGATGATAACCATAGTTGGCAAAAAAAGGTATATGTTCAGTGGAAGAATGTACCAAATTATTATACGCAAACTCTGTCAATGGTAAAAGAGTTTTCCAATTATGTTGATAATAATTGATTGAGTATTCGATAGGCAAATAAAATGGGTTAATCAAGTTTTGAAATAGTATTTGATCATCTTGATAATAATTGATGGTACATTTCAAATACTATTCCAAAACTTGATTAACCCATTTTATTTGCTTATCGATTTGAAGATGAAAAACCAAAGAGACCTTTATATGCACTTTTAAAATCATGAAAAGGGTTCTCAAAAATCTTGATATAAATTAAATCTTCATATTTGTTAGGGACATAGTCCTTAGAACCTTCTAGAGACAAGTTTCTAAAACCTTCTAGAGACAAGCTTCTAGAACCTTCTAGAAGCAAGTCTCTAGAACCTTCTAGAAGCTTCTTAGTTGGTAGAAGATGTTAGGAACATAGTCCTTAGAACCTTCTGGAGATAAGTTTCTAGAACCTTCTAGAAGCAAGTCTTTGGAACCTTCTAGAAGCTTCCTAGTTGGTAGAA